CAGGAGTTTGAGGTTGCTGTGAGCTAGGCTGACGCCACGGCACTCCAGCCCGGGCAACAGAGTGAGACTCTGTCTCAAAAAAAAAAAAAAAAAGATATCAAAGGAATGGCAATTTTCAGGGTCATGTAAACCATTCATACACATGCACCTTCTCTGGCCAGTGCCTACTGTCACCGCCAAACCTCCATTCTCCAAAGTCAGCTCTCTATCATGCCAATTACTCTAAAAAGGGGGCATATCGATAGCCTCATTACCAATGAGCAGTGTAGAAATGCCTAGTTATATGGTTTTAATTTTTTCTGCTACTCACCAACACAGGCATGATTTTCCATCAAAAACATACATATAATGGAGAAATAAAATATGATAAATTGGTTCTTGTGCAGTAGATTTTTTTTTTTTAAAAAAAAGAAAGAAAAAGAAAAAGAAGAAGAAAAATTTACCTGAAGCAGAAACTTGTGTGTTCTGGTTTCAGATCCAAAGAAGACACTTAGTGACTTTAGGAAAGGCATAATAACTTCCCTTATCTTTCATCTTATTCTACTATTATATAGAAGGATATCAGAAAAATGACTAAGTAATAGCCATCTCTAATGACAGAGGACATAATCTTATGCTGAACAGTGAAATTGGCAAAAGGACTGAGACATAGTTCTGTCATCTATTTGGCATCTTGGTCATACATATCCCTTAGCTTTTGGAGGTTGTAAAACAAAGCCATGAAGATCTTTTAAAACAGTTATGTCTGTGCCAAGGTGGCCAAAATAGTGCTCTAAGATATGTTCATTTATAAATTCTGTACATAGTTTAGTTTTTTTTAACACCTCTTTAAAATAGGACTTTTCCACTTGCCAGAATAACAAGCAACACAGACATTAAGTGATTTATGGAATGCCACATGTTATTGTTGTCCTGAGTCTTTACAAATGCTCTCCTTTCCATATGTTAATGTTGGTTTTTAAAACAGCCTTGTAGGTCAAAATGTTGTGAGATATTTCCATACACATAAATCCTAAGAAAGATGACTCTAAGAGAACAGTAGAAATGGGACATCAAAACAGGATTTTCTGTTTTGGTATTTCAGTAGAGCCTACAAGAACTAGTGTTTTAGACCAGAGGTGTAGAACTATGTAGCATATGCCACTTAGCCCACGTCCTAAGGCAGTGTGCTAGACCACATCAATTTTAGCTTGGATGTAACTGTGGTTCACTCTGGGACCCAGACTGAGGGAGTAGCCACTACCTGGAACATCACTTGTCACCATGGTGGGGGAAAGGAAAACATGGCAAACACTATGCTGACCATCAAAGGTTCTGCCTTGAGGTGACACAGATTACTTCTGTTCAAGTCATATGGCTACACCTGAGGTCACTAGGACAGGAATGTGAGAGGAGTATCAAATAAAGGTAAATGCAGCCTATGATAGTATGGGATTTGACTGAAATTATATTCAAGAAGCAAGGAAAAATGAGTTCACAGAGAAATTTTAAAGAGACTGTAGGGAAAAGCATAAGATTGGTTTCTCTTTTTACCTCACTATGACAGATTGTATTTTCTAAAGGTGATCACAATGATATCTCTCAACCCACATATTTTTCTAGAACTTTGCCATTCCCAATCAAAAAGTGGAATCTAGTTAATAACAATAGGCCAGATATGATGGCTCACTCCTGTAAATGAATATTGGTTCATTAATTGTAGGAAATGTACTATACTAATGTAAGACATTAATAATAGGGAAAACTGTGTGTAAGACATATGAGAACTCTGTAATATCATTGCAATTGTCCCAAAGATCTGGAATTCTTCTAAAATAAAGAATATATTACTAAAAAGTTGCAGTAAGCAGGAAAAAATAAAATTTAGAAAATAGTGAAGTGGAAGAAAGTAATAACTCAAGAGAGCCACCTAGGTTGGATGCCTTTGGAAAGATCAGAATTCATAAAACTCTGGATGTGGGATCATAGATAGAAAGGAATGTCTTGTGTATCCGGTGGCCAAGGACAGAGCAATTTCAACTTGAAACCTAACCAGGAAGACTAAGAACAAGTGCTGAGGAAGGAAATCGCATTAAGAAGTACACCTGATTTGCCTTCCATTGTGTGAATACGTACCTCAAATGAAGGAAAGTAGTGTACAAAACCAAAATTACTGGCAGAGTGCATTGCTTTGATGACTTTCTGCAGAGAACTCTTTTTGATTGGATGAGGTGGTAGAGAAGACCAAGAGTGCAGACACCTCGCATTAGGTATGTTCTTGTAAGTGTTGTCATAATTTTGATCTTTGCTAGATGAGTGTTGCATTTTCATCACACTATATATTCCCAAATACAACACTGGAAAGTGGCATAATGAAAAGGGTTTCTTAAAATGAGAACCATTATACTGACTGATTTGCGTTTTTAACTTTGCAATCATGGTAAAACATTTAACCATATTGTGACTTAGTTTCACTCTCTTTTAGATAAAATAATACCTGCCTTATCTAGATATCACAGCATGGTGTTGTTGAAAAAATAAGAAAATAAATATGACAGTGTTCTCAAAACTGCTAAAGGGTACACAATTATTTACCAATGGGGGTGTTTAGTGTGCTCCCCAAAAAATCAAGTTCTATATCAAGCAAGGGGATCTATTTGAAGTAATCTATAGAATCAAAGGAAGGGGTGCAAAGAAGGAGTCATGTAAAAGGAGAGAGCTGTCCTGTTTTCCATTCCCACCCAAATTCTGATAACGGGAGGAGAGTGGGAAGCAGGTTATTATGTCTTAGTGCATGGGTCATTGGACCATAAGGAATGACTTTGAGACCTAAGGGAGAAGAACCCACAATACTTGGAGATTCTGGTCATTTAGTTGAATGCAGTAACTGGATAGAAGCCTACTTGCATCCATAGAATTCTCTGAAAAAATAAAAGGCTGGATCTATGTATGGTGTTTGGTCAGTTTGTTATTCAAATATTTAATGACCAGTTAAACCAGGAACTTTACTGGGTTTAAGGATATAAAAGGCAGACATGACTCTTGCATTCATGGAGTTGACAGGCTGGAGTGGGAATTAGTCATGTACCACATAACATTTCAGTCGATGATGGACCATGTTGATGGTTCCTTAAGATTATAATAAATTTTTACTGTATTTTTTCTGTGTTTAGATATGTTTCGATACACAAGTACTAAATTTGTTACAATTGCCTACAGTATTTAGTACAGTAACATACTGTACAGGTTTGTAGCATAGGAGCAATAGGCTATGCCATATAGCCTAGGTGTATAGTAGGCTATACTTTTTAGGTTTACATAAGTACACTGGTTTGCACAATGATGAAATTGCCTAACAATGCATTTCTTGGAACATGTCTGTCATTAAGTATCATATGACTGTATATGTAGGCTATCTCTATGTAAGAGAATTTTACGAATAAAGAGTAGTGTCCATAATCTATGCTTGTCAAGGATATCAAAGGGGCCGGGCG